GCTCTCCCTGCAGGGCCGGCCGCACCCTGGGGGGAAGCTATAAGGCAAACTCACCACCTCTGTATGAAGGGCTGTGGGAATCACCCATATGTCAACCTTAATTCGGGGGCTCAGGGTTCAGACCCCAGCATTTCAGACCTTCACATCTCTAACTGTGGTGCCCAGCACTACACACAGTGCTCATGGTGAGGTCACACCAATGCTGATTACAGGGAGATAATTGCCCCTTTTGGCCACGTGGCTATACCCTGTTTGATGCACCCCAGGAGGTGATTTGCCGTCTTAGCTGCCAGGGCACACTGCTGGGTCCTGTTGAGCCTTCTGTTGACCAGCACCCCCAGATCCCTGTCTGCAGGACTGCTCCTTAGACACTCCTCTCCCATGTTATACTTGTGCTCAGTGTTATCCTGTCCCAGGTGCAGAAGAGTCTGGCTCTTGGACTTGTTAAATTTTATCTTATTAGTGGTTGCTCAATGCTCCAATCTCTCTAGAGCCATCTGCCGGGCCTCTTGTCCCTCAAGATAGTCAACAGCACCTCCCAGCTTGGTATAATCAGCAAACTTAATAATGGTGTATTTGACTCCTGCATCCAGATCAGACAGAAGTACCGAACAGAGCTGTTCCTAGAATTGAATCCCCAAGAGGAACACCACTGGTGATGGGTTGCCAGCCAAACACAGCCCCATTCACTACAACCCCCTGAGCCCTGCCCTTCAGCCAGTTCTTTCGCTCTGCTTCCCTGTTGCTGCTAGTCCTGATAGTCATGACTTGTGCTCTCTGCTTCCTTTTATAGGTGACATTCACCTCTATGCGCTTTTCTGACCACTGTATGCATTTTGATGGTACTTAAACACTTCTTGCTTTTGTAGCACGCAGCCATGCTAGAGCTTTCCTTTCCTGATGGTCCTCAGATGGTTTATGAGGCTGCAGTATTCCAGAACACACACTCTTCTGGCTTGCTGGATTATCAGTCTGTAGCTTCTCTGTCACCCTTTTGGTATGAGTGTTCTGTTACTCTGCTTTTGAGAGCTGGATTTTGCCATGCAGATGCAAAAGCACTTCTTACTCCAGAGCTGGTCCAAAGACCTTTATGTAGTTTAACCACTAATTTTTCAAGAACTAAACCTGGGGATTTACCTCCTTAGGAACACAGTATATTGAAGAGAGACCTTCTCTGCAGAGCCTTCTAAGCACAATTTCTGGTAATACTTGTTTCTAGATAATAGCAGGCAGTAAGTTGTATGCCAATCTTGCTGTGTATTTGTTGGTGTTCAGGGTTGGTTTTTTGATCCATGTTTGAGATTGACTGTGTGGAAATCCTTGGAGATTCAGGACACTTATCGTTTCTGAACTGAGGTGGATTTAGCAAAGCTCTGGCACAAAGTGTTAATATTCAGCATGCCATAAACCATTCATGATATAGCCTTTGTTAATAGCCAAAACTTAAATTGCCTATAGCTTGAATCATCAGATGATCTGTTCTAGTGTACTTCACCACAAAATTATTAGTTCACATAAATGAGGATTGTCTCTCTCTCCAGATATCCTTCTGACCATACTTTAGCTTATCTTACCGTTGCTTTAAAGTTCCTTCTTGCTTGCCTTCAGATCAGGTAGACCGTTTTACTCCCTTGGTGTGCAATGCCATGAAAGCAGTCTTGTTTGAGCTGTGAATAACAGGGTTTTCAGTCCTCTGGGCATACAATCCTTCGAAGCAGCATAGCAGTCAACATAAAGTAGCACAAATAAAGGCTTTGAGCAGCGTGCCACTGAATGGACACACTGAAAGATCTCAGAAAAGAGTGGCAGGCAAGGAATGCATAATGTGCAGCAGTAGGTGGTAGCTGCTTGCTGTGGAGTATAGAGCTAATGCCACCATCAGTTTCACCCTCAGCTTGCATAAGGAAAAGTTTACAGAAGTCACTGGGACTCTTTGGGTATAGCAACACGTGTACTTATTTGGAAAGTAATGCCAACTTGAGCAGCTCCCACTTTGCTCCATCCTTGTTGACAATGCCATGAATTCAAATGGGGAACTGGTGTGTTGGAAAAACAGTTTGGCAGGCAGATTTATTTCTGATGAGGGTGAGTTAGAGCTGGTGGGCTGGACACAGGATGGGAATTACTATTGTAGGCTGTGGTGAAAGGAGGGCTTGGAGCTTGGCGTGTAACTGGGCCCTCGGGCTCCAAGGACAGGTTTTATGAGACTGGATAGAAACTGGACTAGGAAAGTGGTTCTGTTTGTTGAGTTGCTCATAACAAGCTTTAATTACTTAAGTGCAGGTAATATTGCTGACTAATTATTTTTTCCTTTCTGTTGAGTCATTCTGTGGGCTTAGTGATTGTTAGTGTTTTTTTTTTTTTTTTTTTGTTTCTTGTGCGGTTCTGGAAGTGGTTGTTTTTGGAGGGAGGTCCAGATGTGTATCAACATTTTGAAAACTGAAACTGGAAGGATTTGCTATTGGTTCATTTAATTTCTGTGTAGGAATGGAAA